CTGCCTGGTTGGGGTCCGCGTGACTATCGTAACCAATGGTTGGAGACGCTTGGCGACATGGCTCAGAATCGATCACAATGGCGTCGGTGTATACACTCTCTGTCTTCCTTAAATTAAGAGATTAAAATCGCTTCATATCTGTCTAGGAACTAATTCTTTCTTCCTTTACTATCTCCTTATACACAATCTTTCTTCTATATATTACCACCACTGAATTAACTACTCCTATGAATCCGGTGTTCATCTTGTTGTGCTAATGCTGTATGGCAACTTGGACCGATGCATATACGTGCCTGGTCCTACGTTGCAGCTGACTGACTGACTGACCTGGTGATTTCAGGAAGATGACTTCAGTAACAATATGGTGTTGAATGGGTTTTCAATGTTTTAATAAAAAGCAGCTTATGGTATTTATTATTTGATTTTGCATGTTCAACAAGATTTTAGTCCTTAAATTTAACCTAGGTTTTTTCTAAGCTATAAATGTTTGTTTTATACGTGTTAAACTGTTATAACATTGTTCTGTTTAAATTTTTCCATAATATCTGTCGGTTTGACTGATGTTATGATGATACCAGTGGCTAATCTTAGGTCGTCTTTCGCTGTTTTTTCGTAATATATGTGATAGTGTCTTTTTGTGATTTTGGGTCTGTCCTCCTGATTTATTCTTTTCACGTACCTACTATATTGACGTAAAATACTATCAAAGACAGCATTATCATTGAATCCAATCTTTTTTTGTTGTAAAATGCTTGAATTACTTAGTTTACATAATTGAATAAATAAATATTTACATTTAATTCTTAATCTTTAGCCAAATTTATCGATTAAATAATGTAGAACGAAATAAATGCGCCTGGCAGTAGAATGCAGTACGCGCGTTTCGTCCTATTTGGGACTTGTTAGCTGGATGTACTTGCATCCCAGAGTTGATGTTCACTTTGGGACTTAAACTCAGCACCGTTAGCTTCAAACGCTATCGCGTTATCTACTTGGCTACTGAGTTCAGCGAACGGTATTGGGTTAGCGTCCCGGAGTGAGCATCAAGTCGTCCTACATTCGATTGCTAGACACATTCTATCCGTTCTACATTAAATCGTGTCATATTGGCTATATCGAGGCAATCCACACAGGTTGCTCTTATCTCAACCAAAGCTAATCAAATTTCAGTTAAAATATCATCAACGCCGTAACCCAAGACATATCAAATTAGATTAACAGTTAGATAGTTTTATTCATTTAATAATGTCTAAAATTTCATTTCTCATATGATAACAATAATAATGCTAACATTGATAGTGGTAAGAAGATTTTCCGAATTAATCAACTTAATAATTTCTATTTTACATGTGAGGAATAAAGACGTGTTTGTACAGATCTTGAAATAAATAAATAAATATTAACATAATTCAAGATTGTACATTTCATGGTGTATTTTAAAGAGAAATAAGAGAAACTAGTGTCGTATTTGGATAAACGGTTAATTTTTTTAACGCTAATATATAGTTTTATTTATGAGATTATACAGAAGTGGTATAAAATTACTGTGGAAAAATCAAGTGTAAATGACTAGTATCAGAAGGGTTTTTGTGGATATTATAGTAATTCTTAACATTGACATTAACACCGTTGGATGCTGGCTCAGTTGTATAGAGGTTAAGCGTTCGCACGCAAGACCGATAGGTCCTGGGTTCGGATCTCACGAGGCGGGATCGTGGATGCGCATTTCTGAGGAGTCTCACAATAGGACGAAACGGCCGTTCAGTGCTTCCAGGTTTTCCATGATGGCCTAGCTTCAATCGACTAAAAAAATCAAAATTGTAAATGACTAATTAATAATTAATAGTCGAATTAATTTAACTAGAATAAATATGTTTAAATAAAATAATATGTGGAATATTTTCTCTATTTATGCAAGAGTTTGAGATTTTGCATCGTTAATATTTAGGTGTTCACGTGATGAGTGTAGTTACTATTGGGATATGTGATATCTAAACGGATTACGTGAATATTGTAATTTTCCATGACGTTGAATTGTGGATAGCAGTGGTATCCACAACATACATTTCGAAAAAAGTAAACACTACTCATCGAACAAGTTAATGACCAAAAGTACTCAACTTTTGAAAAGTACTGGGTCTAAGTCTCGATGTTGAATTCAAAACTGGGATGCTAGTACATCCGATTGATGAGTCATGGATAAGACGAAGTGCACATCCGAAATCCCAATGCTAGTACCTCTGTTACTTTTATAAAAAAGTAATCCATATTTTTTCCTCAATTTATTGAATACCTGAAGTTTTATATATGTATATGCGTGTACGCGTGTATTTTTTCCCTTTTTTTAATTTTTAGGAAGTACACATTCGTTCTGTCCACTAAACATGTTTTCATCATCAGACGCGTTGAATCCATTTGCAGACCCTACTACTACATTGAATAATTCATCACAGCATTGTCAACAACTTACTAACAGTGCTAATCATCATAGTAATAGTAATGTTACTGAACTAACTTCATCGGCATTAACTGAAAACGACCATGGTAATAAGTCTAAATTAATTGATGAAAAAGATGGTATATTGAATGATGAAATGTTCACGGCAGATTCAAATGTTAAGTTTGATGTTGGTGACAATTGTGGGTTGCCTTTTCATTCTCGATTTCCTAATATAACAAAAGGTGATTAATGTAATAATAATTATTAGTGCTTTCACGGATTATGATTGTTTTTATAAAATTATAGTTGCGTTTACTTTAATGAACGCACAAATTTACATATCATCAGTTAGGCTTTAAATGATAATTATTAAATTTAAATCACAATTTTTTCAAATGCTTTCATTTAGTATTAGTGAAGTTGACATTTTTAATTCATTTAACATGTATAGATTTGTCTCCTTAACTTCAAGCGATACTGCAAGTGTGAAAGTCAATGACACTACACAGTCCGAAGTTTGTTGAGGGTTGTTCGAATTTGGAAAATCTTAATCAGTGAGACATCACTGTATTTAATACTACATAACAGTATGTAAAATAGTTTAGGGGTGACATGTTTTGACCAAAAATATGTGTAATTTAAAATACCATGGAGCCTAAAGAAAGGAAGATACGTCGCATGTTTATCAATTATCATTACCCTTCGCTGATTTGTATTGTTCATAATGGAAGTCAGCTACACCAAACAATTCTTTCCTATATAGTTGAGGCCATCTATTCTTTGGTCTGAAAAAAAGTGTAAGGCACGCTATGAATTACATTTAATCATTATTAAATGGTTTTGTAGAGATGTTTTGTATAATTTGAAAATAATCGGCTTATATCTGCTAGACAGTTACTGAACTCTGTTGATCGTGAGGTTCTGTGGCGGTGTCTGTCATTGAAAGGCGTACCTCGGAAGTACATCAACCTTATAAAGGCTCTCTACTCGAACACAACTGGTCGAGTGAGAGCCTACGGCGAACTGTCACCAGAACTGATTACCTCAAGTAGTGTTCGTCAGGGCTGTCCACTCTCTCCATTCTTGTTTAACTTTGTCGTTGATGTGCTTTTAGAAATAACACTTTCCACATCTGACTTTCCAGGGGTTGAACTTCTACCGGGAAATTCACTTATTGACTTAGAGTATGCCGATGACATAGTTCTATTTGGTGAAGACGCTGACAAAATGCAGAGTCTGCTGACCACTCTAAGCAACAATGCAGGCATGTTCGGGATGCGATTTTCTCCTTCGAAATGTAAAATGTTGCTTCAGGATTGGGTTGCACCGCCACCCGAACTAGTGATAGGGAGTGAAGTAGTTGAGCGTGTCGACCGATTCACTTATCTCGGAAGTCTCATCAGCCCTTGTGGTCCGGTGTTTGACGAAATCTCAGCACGGATACAAAGGGCTCGACTAGCTATTGCCAACCCGCGTTATTTATTGCGTAGGCGAGATATACGTCTACCAACCGAAGGACAGCTTTACTGTGCAGCAGTTCGTTTCGTCCTACTTTATGGCAGTGAAACATGGCCGGCAAGAGTAGAGGATGTTCGTTGGTTACTAGTATTCAATCATAGATGTCTTCGAAACATTGCTCGTATATCCTGGGACCACTGAGTAAGTAACTCAGTTGTTAGGAAACGGGTACTAGGTGAGGATGGCAAGTCAACTGATGAAGTAGTGACGGCCAGACCAAAACATGGCACAAATCCATGAAGTCACTGACAAGTGGACTGGGTCATGTTGGTAGGTGTAGACTACCTGGTTGGGGTCCGCGAGATGATTGCAACCGATGGTTAGAGACCTTGAATGACATGGCTCAAAATCGTTTGCAAGGCGCATCCGCTCTCTGTGTTCTCTCAAACTCTCCCGAATTCTTCATGTTTTTTATTTTCTTTCCAAATCTATTCCACTGGATTATACTCCTTAAATAACATCATCAAACCCTAATGTTCCCTATCACTACCTCTACCACTACGGGATTTGAATCGATAACTGAATCTCTGTGCTAATGTAGTGTGGCAACTCGAACTGATGTACGTACGTATGAAGTTCTACGTTGTTACTGACTGACTGACTGAGACAGTTACTGAAAGCCAGGAATCACTGGATATTTATTTGATTCTTATCTATAACTCAATAGTGTACGTCTTTGACTCATTCAGAGATCATATTTTTATGTTACACTAGCATTATGTCACAGCCTCGAAAAATCGAAATGAACCTTATTCGTAAACATTCCTCCATAAAGGTCTAGTCAGTTTAGTTGTAGTGGATGGTTGTTTTTCGGTAACTACGTTTTCGGTTTTTTGGACAAGCGTGTCAATTTTCTGTGCCACTGAGTGAATTTTACGAAGTCCTTATCATGTTTGTATGAATGGAAGACTTCAAACTCTACAATGATGTGTCTGGTCATTCATCATTCTTAATTTTCTCGTTCTTATGTTTAGTTCTCACCACTTTAAATATAGAAGTCAAACTCAAGATCGCTTAGGTGGTATAGTTTCCTTGTCTTAGTTTTTCTGTTTGTTGAACTCAATAAGTTTGTATTTAACCAAATCTATCGCTTGACTATTTTTATCTGTGTTCATGATAATGAAATAAATTCAAGTATTTTCTGTTGTTGTTATTCATAATTCAGGTCGGAACGGTGAATTTATATCATATCAAAATGTTAATTCAATCAATAGTCATTCTACTGGAGCAATATCGAATGTTGAACATTATGAAGATTTTGAAACTATCGACTGGGTCAAAGATGTTTCACGTGATCGATGTCGTCATCGAGAACTTCATTTGAATAGAGTTAGTTTAGGATTTCTTTTGTATCTTTTTTTCCTTCCATATTCTTTTTGTTTTCATCGTCACTCTTACCAGTGTATAATTTATTCTAGCCCTAAAATGACGGAGAACATTTGTAATTTAAGTGGATGCTTTTGATTTTGTCAAGTTCTCTGAGATAGATAGTTTCATTGAGAAGCCTCAATTGAAATTCAGTTTGCTTCATATAGAAAAAGTGACCTTAATTATCTATAAGCGTAAAATTGGTTTGTTCTAGTGAACTCGCCTGTGATTGATTGCTTTCATAAGTTTTATTGTATTCATTTTCGTTGGGTTTCTTGTTCTGTTGACCTCTGAACATTCCTATTGGCTTTCTTTCCTATGGGTTGATGGATCGCGTCTACCTCGATATGTCCGTTGATTCCCGATTGATTTAGGTGATATGCTTCTAGATCTTCATTAAGTCGTTTACAAAAATTCTTGATTCTATATCAAATGGTAAACATTGTTTCTCGTATGCTCTGTAGAACAGTGTTATGTAATGCGACGTCTAAGTTAATACTCCCTTATCTAGCGTCTTATGTTCTTTGAGCAGATTGCTTCAAAATCTTCTTCAAGCGATTTGGTCAATAATGGGTTCTATACACTTGGCTATATTTTAAGTATCTCCAAACCGTTGACAGTGTATTCCCAGGTTTATAGAATTTCCAAGATAAAATTGGTCTAGGCAACTATGGTTTTTTTAAAAAAGTGTCTATTCAAACAGTAATTCTCTTACTTGTTCCCTATTAACGTCCACATTGCTATTGCTTTTGTTGGCTGTCTAAACAAAGTCAGTCCATGGTGTGGAACTACCGATGCAACAAAATTCGCGACCCCTCATTCTAGCAAATCCAAGATAATTCAAAAAACGAATAAGTAGAATCGACCTGTGAATTACTAGAGATTGTTTAGATTAGTATGACTTTCGATTTTTATGAAGATAACTAATACTACCCAGTGGTTGTTGGAGTGCTATATGTTAAGTGGAGTTTGAGTATATCATTGAATATTTGAAAATGAAACCCTTTAATCACCAAATCAGAGTTTATTGTTGCATATAATTGTGAATTCAATAAGTGTCTTGTCAAAGTGTGTTATTCAAAACTTATTGCATTTTCAATATTTCCTTCGTGTTACTGTTTTTCGACTATTTTTTATATGATCAATTTAGAATCCAGTCATTCATATTATAGAAAGTCTGTAAACTTATTCTTAAGTGATGTCGTTATGGCTTGCTACCAGTATATAGATAATTCGAAGCCTATTTTACCTGCTTCAGTTTGAGTAATATCACCAGCTCCCAATCAAGCAGTGAAGTTCGGAGCTGTATTCATAAGCCTTCTTCTAGTGAATAAGTTACATTTCGGTTATTTGAAAATGTTTTGTCTTTTCTAAGCATTGTTAATACCATGAATGGTTGCCACTTATGAAATACCTTTAATGTTCATTCGTAGAAAACATTTCTCTTTATAACGATGTCGTCTTACTTCCTTTTATCAGGGTAAGCAAATTTAATTCTTTAATACTTAAACTGGTTCTATGCTTCCTCTATATGTGTTTTCATTGTCAATTTTACAATATCTAGAAAACATGCTGTGGTTCAATTAAAGCCTGTTGGGATTCTGCTTCTGGATGGTTTTGTGTATTATGCGTCGGTTTGTTAACAGGTTTCATTGCTTGTATAATTGATATTGGTTGTACTTGGATGTCTGATTTAAAAGAGGGTGTTTGTCTAGATGCATTTTGGTTCAACCGTGAACAGTGTTGTTGGTCATCAAGTCAAGCGGATGATGTCTGTGATCAAGTAAGTATGGTCGTTATATTTTTTTTATTCTTCAATAAAATGCTAATTACAAGTTTTTGGTTGTTGATTTTCCTCAAAACATCAGATAACTAGGCCAGCCAGATTGTATCAATAGCTCATAGTTAAGTACATGAATACGTGGGTGTTGTTTACGAAAATGAGAGGACGAAAAGCGAACTTCCGGCGCTATAACCGGATCCCAAATCGATGGTGCACATGGGCTCCAGTATCCTGAGTGAACAAATGGCGTATGAACCAATCGTTGGTCACCGGCTTGCTCCACCGCCTTGTGGAGCAGACCTTTAGGTCGAAGGCACGTGGTGTGGCTCCCTAAGGAAACCACCTGCTTCAGTCTGGGCACCCGGGAAGTATCTCAGCCTACACACAAATATAATGATAATGAAAATGATGATATTCACTGAAAACTCTATTCTCGCTGCCTGGACTTAAATCGATGTTGGCATCTGGTTGCAACTTCTGTTGCTAGTAAGTATCGAACGAGCTAGCTTCTAGGCTAGCTACCATTCCACCGAAAAGTATAGATGAGCATTAGTTGCAATTTCATGACGCCATGAAAATAGCGGGTCAAGTCAGTTGTGGGTTCGCGAAACGTCCCGCTTATAAGCACTGGGTCTCTTCTGGTTCCTTACAACTCATTGAAGCCCGTCGGTCTACTCGGGTTGACCGTGAGTTTGACCACAGACGAGGGATGTTGCGTAATGAAATCGGGCAAAACTTGCGTATGGACCGAGGAGCCTGGTGGTCGGAGCGTGCTAATGAGCTGGAAACAGCAGCTGCATCTGGTAATTACCGGAAGCTCTTCCAACTCATCCGAGCCACTGGCAGCAAGAAGTCTGGTTTGAGCGAAACAATCTACGAGGATGACGGAACGCCAATCACTAACATCCATCGACGTCTTGAACGAGGGACAGAATTCTTCGAAGGGCAGTTCAACTGGCCTGCTGCTCCGGCAACATCGGTCAGACTGTCCTGCCCTCCATGGCCGGTGACGACTGATCCACCAAATGAGGCGGAAGTCCGCAAGAAACTCTAACTCTTGAAACGTTACAAATCACTAGGCCCAGACGACTTACCTCCGGCTCTTTTTAAAGATGGTGGTGACTTTCTGACTAAGGGACTGACGACGTTGTTTACACAGGTCTGAGAACTAGAGTGTGTAACAACGTCATGGAATGAGTCGATAGTTGTCCCTATCTTTAAAAATGGTTCACGTCTTTCCTGTAACAACTATCGGTGGATAAGTCTACTTCCGATTGCGTACAAGCTGTTGGCTTCCGTCATACTTTGTAGGTTGTTCAAAGCCCAAGAAAGATTGACTCGCGAGGAGCAGGCTGGGTTTCGTTCTGGTCGAGGATGTATTGATCATATCTTCACCCTCCGCCAAATGTTAGAACACCGTCATACTCATCAAAGGCCAACAATCGTAGTGTTTCTTGATATCAGAGCTGCCTTCGATTCGTAGGATTAATAACATTCACCACGGAGTGATATTCATTGGGAGAATACTGAAAATCATACAATTAAGACCGAAAGACAATCAGCAGTATGTTTTTTTTGTAGATACAGACTACCTGGATAGGGTTTGTGCATTAAACCTGACCACATTTTGAAAGCATTGAATGAGATGGCTCGGAATCGAACACAGTGGCCCGGGTGGATTCACTCCTTATTATCTTCAAGACCTTGAGCTAAATTTATTTATTTATTTATTTTAACACATAAGTATAGGTACAAGGAGGCACTAAATACATATGCGCCACACGAATCTCAATTGATTTGTGTGAGGGCTGTGATACTGCCCGGGTGCCCAATCCAAAGCAGGTGGTTTTCTTAGGGGGCCACACCACGAGCCTTTGACCTGAACGTCTGACCCACAAGGCAGTGGAGCATCGTGAGGAGATGCAGTCCCATGGTAGCGGGTGACCAACGATTGGTTCGTACGCCATTTGTTCCTTCAGGATACTGGAGCTCATGTGCACCATTGGTTTGGGGTCCGGTTAAAGTGCCGGACATTCGCTTTTCGTCCTCTCATTTTCGTAAACAACACCCGTGGTGCGAGAAGGCAGTGAGTAGGACTTCCCTGGTAGAGGCTATATACGCATGGCCATGTGAGAGCATTTCGAGAGGGAGAGCGGACTCTCACCACTTTCGGCCGTACCAGGGCATTTGGGGGCAATTCACAGTTACATAATATACCCTTGTGGGCCAGGGTAATTTTACATCGGTTTTCAGGAGAACCAGACACCGTCCAGACTTTCACGCGACAACCCAAACAGTACAGCCCAAACCCATTTAACAGGGGAGCCGGACACCGTATAGGATATAACGCTACAATCTGAATAGTACAGCTCAATCCTGTGGCGCAACCACAAATATCTTTTCTTTCTGTTTATCATATAATTTCTAGTACTTCTCTATACATTTGGCTAATTTTATCCCGTCGTGCTAATGTGATGTGGGTAATTCGGTTCAGAGCACATTTGTAGCAGATTCTATGATGATTATGACTGATTAAACTTTTTTGCAAACCACACCGTAAGGATCAGTCATGCAAAGACCGAATCGCGATACCACGGATCATCTTTGAACAACCAATTGAATGGAAATCGTCACTATATATCAACTCCCTTGATAATGAGAAAGCATTTGACAGTGTGGATAGGAGAACATTTTGGAACCTTCTCCGACACTATGGTGTACACAGGAAAATCATCAACCTCATGCAAAATTCATACGACGGATTGCACTCTGAAGTCGTGCATGACGAACAGCCGACCAAACAGGACTATATCATCTGCGTATTCTAAGTCAATAAGTGGACCTCCTGGTAGGAGATCAATTACCTAAAATTCACTCGACGAGAGCATTATTTCCATCAGTAGGCATATGATAAAGTTAAACAAAAGTGGAGAAAGTGGACAGCCTTGACAGACACCACTTGAGGTTGCAAAAGCAGGTGACAGTTCGTCATAAGCTCTCACTCAACTGGTACTATTCCAGTAAAGAGCCTTCACAAGGTTTATGAACTTCCGAGGTACGCATTTCAATAACAAACACTACCACAGAACCTCTCGGTATACGGAGTCAAATGCTACTTTTAAGTCAAGAAAGATCATCATTGTCGGACACCGATAAACATGCCTATGTTCTAGAACCTGACAAATCGTGAATATGTGGTCGATGCAGCCATGACCGGGTCTGAAGCCAGTTCATGAGTCTTTCTTAGACATCTGATAATTATTGAGGCTAGTATTTTAGATGCTATATTAGTTAAACTAATCGCTCTATGGTTATCACACGATGCTTTTGACCCCTTCCTATATATTGGGACAATCAGTGGTTGCGACCAGTCACATGGGACTATATTCAGTTCTCAGATTTTTGTTAAAATATTAGTCAACCTAATCTATAAAACTAGACCACCATCCCTAAAGAAATATAAAGTTAATCCATCTGGACCAGCTGCTCTTCCTCTTTTCAGATTAACTACAGCTATTTAAACTTCAGATAGAGTCCGAGGACCTACTTCAATGTTACATTCATGCTGTCTGTGAATGTTGGGTAGTTGTAGAATAGACGAAGGCCACAGAATTGCTCCTTAAAATGTTCCGTCGAGAGAGATGATAAAAGTGTTGTCTTTTTCCAAAATAGTCTCACTTACGATTGACTTATTAATTCCAGTTTATTTTATTAGTCAGAAAAGCAGTCTGGTGTTACCTACAGTCGCCGCCTTTTCTATCTCTTTTGCTTCCGTTGCCCACCACTGCTCACGATCATTCCGTAGACTCTTGGTTAGCATACATCTAATTTATTTCCATTGTCCATTATGTTCAGAGCCTAATGGCATAAGTTTACGAGAGTCTATCAGTGCAATAGATGTTGCAGAAGTCCATTGGTTTTTCATAACCCTTTGGTTCAAATCACTAATGGATGTCACTGCTGTTTCCACAGCTGTTCGTAAATCTTTCCAAGCAACATCTAGGTCAGCTTCGTTTTCGAAATTGCATAAGTATGACTTCAGTTGTTCCTGGAATCTACTCTTGGCTTTCTCGCCAATGAGTTCAATTCTAACGGGTCTTCTTAATGTGGCTTCTCTGTGTCCAGTGAGGTGCAGGAAAATGTGCGCTCGTATTACGGCATCATCAGAGTCTAAAAGTTTATTCCAGAACGAGCCACAGTCTTCTATCGAGCCTCTCCAACGATGGCTGACGGCAATAGGCTCTATTTGAGTCCATCGTAGGTTTGGTGCAGTGGGTCTCCATGTTAGACGATGTCTCTCCTTATGCTTAAAATTAGTGCTTGTTAACAACAAACGATTGTCTGGGCACGGTTGCAACAGACGATCACCATTATCTGTTCGCTGAGACAGAATACAAAAATACCCACATATATGTCTTTCCATTTGGTTTAAGCTACCCACTTGGGCATTAAAGTCATCTGCTACAAGTACTATGTCTGAACGTTTAGCTTTTTGAGAAAGTTTAGAGAGCTCTCTGTAAAATCCAGCATTCACTGCATCTGAGCTGCAGTCAGTGGGAGCAAAGGCAGAAACGACGAAAAAGTAACGATGTGTGTCTCTATCCCTCCGAGTTCTTACAGAGCCGTTTAGCCGAACACCACATAGACGACTGTTAACAGGAATCCATTCTAGAAGTGCTTCTTCTGCCTCCATACTTAGTGCTATGCCTACACCTGCCACTACACGAGAACTAGCCATCGGGTCACCAGATAAACGGAGAGTGTATCTTGTCGGCTCTCCGTTTTGCCGAGGTGAGGTCAAGTGAATGACCACGCTAGGATCCTGTATGTGTGTTTCGGAGACGCAGAATACATCAATCGTACGAGATTATAGAGTTTTAGCCAAGGAAGCCTGCTGATCGATTTGACATAGTGTGCGTACGTCGGAGGCTCCAATGTGTAGTTTGGAGCGACGGACTGCACTCTGAAGTCGTGCATGACGAACAGCTGACAGATACAATCTAAGTGAAAACCGGAGTCAGATACACAAGCCTACTCTCCCCCTTTCTCTTTCTTACGGTGGTCAATTGGATTATGGAGACCCACACATCTCAAGTGAAGCACTAAAAACAATGGACAATTGTATGTTACTGTCGAATACGAGTACTGAAGCAGTTTTTCTGAAATCACATGCACCATTTAGACTGGCTGCCTTTAACGTTCGCACACTTATGCAGGTTAGACAACAGATAGGGCTGGCTATGAAAATGATGATATTCACTGAAAACTCTATTCTCGCTGCGATTTACTGTCAAACAATTCACATTATTATTATTATTATTATTATTATTATTATTATTATTATTATTATTATTATTATTTACCACGTCATTTATTTATTCTCTTTCATTCCCACTCTGTCTATCCTTATTTTTCGACTATGGCGGACATTCGGCTCTATCTAAACGTTCTCGAGTCACTGCCTGGTTGAAAATTGTATGTTACCATCGAATACGAGTACTGAAGCAGTTTTTCTGAAATCACATGCACCATTCAAACTGGCTGCTTTTAACGTTCGCACACTTATGCAGGTTAGACAACAGATAGGGCTGGCTATGTCTCTGGAAATTCTTAATATCGACGTTTGCTATCTATCCGAGACCCGTATTCAAGACTGATGAATTACTACAAATTCGCTCTCCAACTGTCACTTCAAAAAGCTTGTTTTACATGCGTTTATCCGGGGACCCTGTGGCATCTTTGTCTGGTCTTGCTTGCGTTGGTGTCGCACTAAGCGCTAGAGCTGAGGCAGCACTAATCGATTGGATCCCCATTAACAGTAGATTATGTGCTGTTAGATTAGAAAGTTCCATCAAAGTGAGAAGAAATCGGCGTGAGAAACGATGTCTTTTCGTCATCTCCGCCTATGCCCCGACGGATTGCAGCCCGGATGCAATCAAGGATGAATTCTACCACCAGTTATCTGTTCTTCTCCAGAAAGTGCGTTCGACAGATATTAGCCGGAGACTTGAATGCTCATGTCGGGCGTCTAGGCATAGAAGATAGTTGTTTAGGTGTCCGATGGGGACTTGTTGGTCGCAGTTTTACTCTATGCTTGTGAAACCTGGGCTCCGAGTTGAGGATGTTTATTTATATTCATTTATTTTAACACATGAGTGTTGGTACAAGGAGGCACCAAATTCATATGCGCCACACGAATCTCGATTGATTTGTGTGAGGGCTGTGATACTGCCCGGGTGCCCAATCCAAAGCAGGTGGTTTTCTTAGGGGGCCACACCACGAGCCTTTGACCTGAACTTCTGTCCCACAAGGCAGTGGAGCATCGTGAGGAGATGCAGTCCCATGGTAGCGGGTGACCAACGATTGGTTCGTACGCCATTTGTTCCTTCAGGATACTGGAGCTCATGTGCACCATTGGTTTGGGGTCCGGTTAAAGTGCCGGACATTCGCTTTTCGTCCTCTCATTTTCGTAAACAACACCCGTGGTGCGAGAAGGCAGTGAGTAGGACTTCCCTGGTAGAGGCTATATACGCATGGCCATGTGAGAGCTTTTCGAGAGGGAGAGCGTACTCTTCCCACTCTCTTCCGCACCAGGGCATTTGGGGGTGTTCGATCATCGCTGTCTCCGAAGGATTGCTGACATCTAGCGGCAACACCATGTTAGTAATGCAGAGGTTCGGCATCGTGTGTTCGGGCGCAGTGACGATAATGCAATTGGTGTCACCATCTTGAAACACCGACTTCGGTGGCTTGGACATGTCCTACGAATGTCGTCCCACAGAATTTCACGTTGTGCATTATTTGCCGACTTTGGGACTGGTTGGAAAAAACGGAGAGTTGGTCAATGTATGACATGGTGTCGGGGTATGAAAGAAAACTGTACAGAACTGGTATCTGTTGGTCCTTCACGACTCCCTGGCTGGGGTCCGAGAGATGGTGTAACACAGTGTCTAGAGACGTTATCAGATATGGCTCAGAATAGAAGCCAGTGGCGACCCTGCTGTAACCTTCTTTTACTTTCTTCACAAAAAGTGGTTGCTTCTTCTTTAACTGAAAGATTTCTTCAGATTGTACCTTTTCGTTTCTTCCATTATTGTTCTTTTTTTATAATTCCCTACGTTCCTTACCTTTTTTTCCCTTCTCTTTAAATTCTCATTGTTTTGTGTGGCGCATATATATTTGGTGCCCCCTTGTATCAATATTTATGTGTTCAAATAAATAAATAAATGAATAACTACGTGAATTCGTACTTGTTATATGAGTAATTATATCTATTTATTATAAGTTAAGTGAATAATACTGAATTTCATTTCTGTTGTTTATAGCCGTGAGATGATGCAATTTTATCTACAAATTTTAGTTAAAAAAAAGTATAGTAATATGTTGGGGAGATCCAGAAAACTCGAAAAAAGCCAAGAAAGACTGAAAACAGTGATAAGCATCTTATCCAATCAGCGTTCACTAGAGGTTTTGCCAGAAACATCATAAAAGTGGATAGTCACATGTCGAGTTTCTGATTAGATGATTATTTAAACTGCTGCTGTGTTTAGTAACATTCCAGAATTTTCGGGAACTCATGGACATCTAAAATACTATAAAAACCCTAGATTTTCTGAACATAAACGAACATTTGGAGTAAAGTGTTTCTTACTTATTTCTGGTCTTTTCTCTCGCGTTCAAGTCTCTGTGTAGATCTAGCCTGGGGGTTACTAGAAGAGCTTAAGAACAAATCTAGCATTCAGTTAGAAGGACTTATCATAATAGTTTATTCATAGAAGTGAACTAATAGGTGCAGTTTGAAAAAGGATTCGGACACTCTAGTATTGAATGTTACGAATTGTGATTAAAATTTTATTATGCAATGTGGAGACTTTATAATTGTTTTTGTTCTCTTTTTTCACTCCTTTCAACCTTAGTGGTATTCATGGTCTCGTCTTTTCATGAACAAAGATCCAACTGGTGAATATCCAGATGCTTACTTTGTTGGTTACATATTCTATATTATTTATGCTGTATTATTTGCCCTAGTTTGTGTATTTCTTGTTCGTATGTTTGCTCCTTACGCTTGTGGTAAGTAAGACGTTTTATACATTTAACTGCTTGTGTTTAAAATATTGTAGTTTACAAAAGGTCGTGTTTTTTTAAATTCCATTATTCACAGTCATTAAGCAGAGAGTGATATTGGCTTAAAAATTTTCAGTGTACATCCTGGGCTATCTGCTTCGATTTAGGTAGCTAAGTAGCATCACATTAGATATGAGAGTTAATGTGAGACTATTCCATAAAATTTTAGTTAGTAACTAATTAAATTCAGTAACAGTTGTTTTTAGGGTATTAGTGGAATCCAGGACGCGTGTTCTTTCCAATTTCAGGATTCGGCAAATTGATGTATTTGTGTTCAGACTGAGATTTGAACTCATTACCTATCCCTTTAGGAATGAGAATGTTGTCCACTATGTCATTATGAAACTGAACCAGTAAGTTTGTAGCTTCAATCTTTTTTGAATGATAACTTTTGAGTACTTGTTGATTGTTAATTATATTATCCGCGTCAATGTTAATACTAGGTGTTCATTTAACAACATTTCTAAAGATGTTTCTGAGAATAGAAAGAAATAGAAAGTTGATTATATAATTCAAGAATATCACTGCTATATAAGGACTGGTGTCTAATTTTCAATACTTTGAAGTGCGTTTGAATCTTTGAAGTGTTGAAATAAGTGGTGTCAGAGGACTATCAGTTTATCATAGTTTGGGAAAACTATCGGTTTTTGTACCCTTCACTAGTCAAGTTATTCAGTCAAAGATACCTTATATGTGCACTTTTAGAGCTTCCTTTTAAGTCCCTTATCAGTCGACTAATCCATTACATAAAACTGTATTTCACAAGTCCACCAACTTTAACTTAAACCATTTGGCTTCCTGCGTAATTGTATTTTTGATGACAGTCAGAAATCCCTTTCAAAAGAATACTCATTGAACCTTTTTAATCGGTCAACCGGCAAATTATATCATTAAAATCCCCGTAGCCATCTGATTCAGCTTCTCAGTTTAGGAGTTAGTAGACAGATCAACTGCCTTATCATGATATTCCACTAAATAACCACCTAAGAAGATAGCTAGAATGATTTCAAGAAAATAATTTTTATTAAGTTCAAATTAGTTTAAATACCAGTTAGTAAGTAGGATTACCTACTCTAGTGATTTCAAAATGTGTGAATCCCTGAAAACAGTTGAGATAATTTGTAGCTCAGTTGAGGTTTGACTGCTACATTTCGAAAGAAAACTTACTCTTAAAATGTACATTCATAGTATATTGGTAATATTATATGACTGGATGTGAAAGCGAATGGTTTGTAAATCTTTTGTCAAATTTCTTGGGATCATTCGCTACGTTTGATTTTAATTTTTTAAAATAATTTTCTTGTATCGTTTTTAAATGACTGTAAGATGTTTAGTGTTGTGCTGACACTTTAATGTCTTCGGAACTCGAGTGGCTGATGTCATTTGACTAGTTGATGTCTTATTTATGTGTAGATACTACTTTAAGATCCCTTTGGTCCTGTACATTTCGTTGTTTTAAAATGGTACAACGTGTTGTACCATATTCTGTTCGTACTTAGACCTAATTTTGTTCGGGTGATTAATAAAAACAGTAATTAATAACTAACATGTATTGATTCATTGATTTTATTAAATGTATTCAGCAACGAATGATAACCATTTGAATCTCTATTGTTTAGATTTACCTCGTTCATAATCAGTTGTTGAGGATGCAAGAAATCTATTCCGAATATTTTCTAAACGTATTGATCACCATACAAGCAAATTCTTCATTAAGTAACACTTCTTTGGTTCGTTTGTCTTTCACCCTAAGAGCTTATTTGATTCACGTAATGAACGTTATGAATCTATTACATTCTATATACTTTGAATACATACATATCATAAAGGAAATAGAGAAATGAATTGGCCAGACTACTAGTGTTGTGTTTGGATAGAATAAGAATGTAACTCACTAATTGAGTTATATTTTCATAGTTGAATTCACGAGTTGATTTAAGCTAGACCACCATTGAAAACCTGGAAGCACTGGAGAATCGATTAAGAGTTGCGCAAGATCATGGATCGATTGAAGTTTGGTGTTAGGCACTCGCGTGCGAAACCGAAGGTCTTGTGCTTGAGTCCCGCTTGCGGGATCGTGGATGCACACTACTACGCCCTTCCAGTGCTTCCGGGTTTTTAGTGGTGATCTACCTTACATCGACTCGTGAATCAAAAAATAAGAATACTACAATCTCCACAAATCTCCATACAGAGTTATGTTTGTTAATCAAAGCAGTTAATGTCAATGATTACTAGCCTGTTATATCCAAATTTAACTATTGACCGAATATTTAAAAATAACGTACTTATTATTGTAATTTTTCATGTCGTTTTGGCCAGTTATAAATCAGTAGTTCCAGTGTATAATAAGTCTATTTTCAGTCTTACTTTCCTTATTTTCGTTGAGGATTATGAGACTTTGTTCAATTGTAATAAGTAGTGAGTAGCAATTTTCTCTTAGTCATAACACAATAACAGCATCGTTCTAATGTAAAGGGATTATACACTGGACATTAGGTTAATAGATCACTAGACTGGGCACTAGATCACGGTATCTGACCACATGATACACCTGACTCAATCATCCTACTGATGATCAAGAACCAGATTACATCAGGACTAGAGTTTATTAACACACAGTTCAAAGTTGTCAGTAAGTGGAACTAAAATAGAATACAAGTTCAATGCTGTAAAATAATACTAGATGGTCTCCTTTATTTAGTATAACTTAATATGTCTGTCTCCTACTGACTAATCACGCCTCAGTGTTATCGTATATATCAAAATAGTTTCTTAAAATTAGTCATTTAAACAATTATTCAAAGTGTACATGTTAATTCTAGAATTTTCGAATGAGAGCAATAGTTATTTTTTCTAATTAATTAAGCTACTTTATATCATGGTAATAAATTTTATGCATTCTCTCTTTCATTGTTTACATCGAATGCGTTGTTTTGTTTTCTGTCATATTAAAGAGTAATTTTGGAGTTGATTCTTAAGAACTTCATTGGTCTCTTAACTATTTTAATAGAATAAACACTTAAACAAAATTTCTTCAGAAAATATATTTACTAATTAAAGTTGTGTGTGATTTTACTAATTTTCATAGTAGTGACAGATTCATTATGATGTTTGTGTTTATATTTTTATAGATATGTAGTTTTGTTTACATTGTTAACTCAATCTATAAGATTTCGAAATTGAGTAAAAAAAATAGTTGCTTTTATTATTAAAGATACATATGAAACATTTTTATTGTTATTTTCTCAGGATTAAACGTAAAAGCAGTTGAAATATGTCTCCCATGTGTACTGTCGATAGATGATTGTGTAACTCTCAACATTTGAATAGTATAGTGGTTGTCATGCTAACATTATTTACCGACTTATCAAATGACAAGCTAAGAAGTTTTTTCTTAAACATAATACATCTTTCATACAAAGTTATTTCATACACAAAAAAATGAACTGCGAACCAAAAATAAACTGCTTGTTATAACCTGCTCTTTGCTATACAGTTTGAAAATATCAACATATTAGCATACAAGATTTACTGCAATGAAAGTATGACTGGCCTGATTGAACTCAACGGAACGACTCTTCAACACTTTACCCTCACTATTATTGACGCAACACTCAACTAGTAAGAAAACAGCCTGGTTTGTTCTGAGAAATATATATTTACTAAATTATAGTAACTTGTAGCGAGTTTCATATTAGATAAGTGTTAAACCTGACTAAATAATTATCAGAATATAGCTCAATAGTATACTGAAATAACTAATAACTGAAATAGTCAGAATATAATCGAATATTGCGCTGAATGGCTATCAGCAGTCAATAATTTTACTCTTGTTTGCTTTCTTATCACCTCCCTTTGAAAGAGTTGTAAGATTTCTTCTTTTTTTTAAGTCGACTTAAAATTTTTTTGATTTTCTTTATATTCATGATAATATTTTTCACAAATCCTATCCCGGTTTCCCCAGCTAACTGGCTTCAGTAGAATCATTTGAAGATGCGATTTTTTTTTGAAAGACTAGATTACCTAGATATGTTAAATATTACTGTTTAATTAAAAACTGTTACTGTTGCCTACTTGTAAGCATGCTTATTCTCCTATATAAATCTCATAATTTTTTTGCCGTGCATCTCTTCAAGTCGCTTTAATAGTTTGTGATTGTTTATGTACAGTATAGGAGAGGCCTCTGTGGAAAGAAGCTGTCTGTATCAACTGAGTTATCAGGCTTGAAATTTACTTTCCATTTAATTAATAGCGTTAAATTATGCTGTAACCAATCTCAATATTTTAAAAATACACATGACAGACTGTCGTTTGGATTTCCACGATTTTCCTTTGTCATTCTTTTACGAATTAATCATCAGAGTTTATCGACTTTCAATCACAATATGAAATTCTTCGTTGACTGTCTAAGTTCTGAACAAGATTGCAATGCCATCAGTCAACAATACCCCATGACTTGGATTGTTAAGATTGTTTCATGTGTCTTGTAAGACAAAATGTGTAATGTTTTCCACACCAAAACTAATATAATGATTCATTGATGTCAGTTCTATTTGGTATTTCTGTATATGCTACTAATGAAACAACTCAATGCTTGTTTAATCTATTATTACTATGGAGTTTATACGATAATTAGTGATGTACTATAAAATCATTTCGCTTGGACTTTTGCATCTTACATTCTTCTTCATTACTTTACATTATTATCACTTTTATTTAAAGTGCTTATTTTGACGTAACCTAAGAAACAAATCCTTTCGGGAAGTATAAAATTAAATTATGTTTATTATTGTTGTTGTTTGGTAATTTGTATCAACCATATCGTGCCTGTAAACTAGCTTGTATTTCGTTTTACTTCTCAGGATATATCGCTGTTATTATTATTATTATTATTATTATTATTACTATTATTATTATTATTATTAGTGCTATTTCTATCTTGTTGTATGGTGCGTAAACCTCAATCTGATTTTTAAGCTTTATTATGTTCTTAATAAATTCTTGTTGTGTAGAATAAATAGTTTTGAATTGCATGTCTATTGATGTCTTAATCCAGATTTGGAGAATTAGTTAACTGGAATGCAAATTATTATTTGGATAAATAAAAAAAATTGTTTTATAAGTGAATCTATAATGATCTAATTAAATATTTCATGGTATATATATTGAACAGGAGGACTTTTTATCTAATCACGATGAGTTCAGTTAGAACGAATATTCATGTTTTAAAGAGTTTACGTAATGGGTAAACATTTTTGTTACTACAAAGTTTTCTGGAAAACACATCAAATGATCCGCGGGATGTCATTCTGTATAGTAAAAATGAAACGTAGTTGGTACTGGTTTCCCAGATTACAGATCATTCTTGTTCATTTCGTTGTAAAGTTGGACACTTGAGGAAACATATGCTCTTTGTGGTATTGAAATGGTTAAAAAACCTGCGTTTGTACATTTACTCTATTTTCAAATAGTACTGTGATATGTATCCTCAATCTATAATGTTATCTGAAATATTCTTCAAAGTTGTGGAAAACATAATTTAAAGATATTGTTTAGAAATATTTGAATGTATTTTTGCTATATACAGAGACTGAGTTACATCACTAACGGTGTCCGGTCATTGACTTGGGTTTTCAACCTTCCCTATATGGATGTCCCAGATTTTCTAGACCAACCATTTAGTTAATGTGTTGTTTTTTTATATTAAGAAAATCTGATTTATATTAACATCTTTTTTCCGTATTTTGAATTTAGGTAGCGGTATTCCTGAAATTAAGACTATTCTTGGTGGATTCATTATACGTGGTTACTTAGGGAAATGGACTCTTCTAATAAAATCGATTGGTATGATTCTTGGAGTAGGTGCTGGTTTAAATCTTGGTAAAGAAGGACCCATGGTCCATATGGCTGCCTGTGTTGGAAATATATTTGCACACTTCTTTCCCAAATATGGTCAAAATGAAGCTAAAAAACGTGAGGCAAGTTTTCTAATATAAAAGCTCTTGTGAATTAATATTTTACGAACTTGTTATGGTTTATGTTAGACGGTTGTCAGCATTCGATATAAGCTATTAGCCTGGGATTTAAAATTTTCAGCACTCAGCACTAACTGACTATCACTTAGATGTGCAAGATCATGTTGTCCAGTTGGTAGATACAGTTGTGTGTATAGACCTATTCACTCCATAACTAAAGTTTTGTCTAATTCATCTGGCAAACATCATTCGGTCATTGCATAGCAACCAAAACCGTGCTCTCTACTCTTTAGAGTTAAGCGATCGAATCTGTATTATCTTGTTAATCTCACCACTGATTATTAAATTAGTATTTGATTATCTTATACTGTTTAGTTGTCAATTAGTGTCCGTAAATATGGTATATGCTTTGCATCATCGAACTGCAAAGTACTTTCACATGGTTGGCAGGCCCTGGACCCTGCACTCACGCTGGTTAGTGAGTAGACAGAGGTAGTCAAGACGTTTGTGTATCTCCATAAGTGCTGGTAGTAGTATGAGTGATGAGATCAATTCACGTACAGTGAAAGCCAAAGCAGCTTGTACCAAGTTGGGCCATCTTTGGCGTCTTCGTGATGTTAGTCTGGCTGTAAAAGTTCGGATCCCCAACGTGTCAGTACGCTCCGAAATCAAGTCGAATTTTCAAATTAACGGGATAAAATATACGTGACAACAATATCACAGACCGTCTCAGTTTGATCTACTTTGATTTTTTGTTTAAATACTAAGACCTTAGTTGTTATTACCGACCATTCTTGTCATGTATCATTGGTCGAATAGTTTCGATTCTACGATAAAATTCTAATAACTCACTTTTTAAAAATGATTTCGCTGATATTATGTTTCAAAAGAACTTATAGGCTAATGAGGTAAAATCTATTGGTTCATATACCCAATATGCTCTTCAGAAATATCAATTATCTTCATTTTTTCGATTTATTTGTTGCTCCAGGACCGGCCTACGTCAACACCTGAACTAAGGATAGGGAGTGACGTAGTCGGACACGTTGACAACTTCACTTATCTTGGAAGACTGGTCAGCCCAAATGGGTTGGTGTGTGACGAAATCTCAGCACGAATTCAGAAGGCTCGTTTGGCTTTTGCCAACTTACGTCACCTATGATGAAGGCGATATATCGTCTATCAATTAAATGACGAGTATACTGCGCAGCAGTTCGTTCTGCTTTACTTTATTGGTGTGAAACGTGGCCATTAAGAGTAGAAGATATTCGTAAGCTACTAGTATTTGACCACAGATGCCTTAGAAATATTGCTGTCATCTGCTGGGATCACTGGGTAAGTAATAGTGAGGTTAGACGCAGGGTATTAGGAAATGATGGTAAATCAGTTGATGAGGTTATGAATCTTCATCAACTAAGATGGTTTGGTCACGTGTTACGTATGCCTGAACACCGATTACCACGGCGCGCAATGCTGAGTAGTGTTAGGGATGGTTGGAAGAAAGTTAGGGGCGGCCAAACCAAAGCGTGGCGTCAATGCTTGAAGTCATTAACTCTAGTCTGAGCCATGTTGGTAGATGCAGACTGCCTGGTTGGGGTCCGCGTGACTATCGTAACCAATGGTTGGAGACTGTAGGTGACATGGCTTAGACTAGATCACAATTGTGTAGGTGTGTATACTCTTTATCTTCCTTTAAACTATGAGATCAAAATCGCTTCATATCTTTCTTCCTGCATTATATCCTCATATGAAATCTTTCTTTTATATATTACCACCATTGTATTAACTACTTCTCTGAATTTGGTGTTCATCCTGTTGTACTAGTGCGATATGTCAACTTGGACCAATACATATATGTGTCTGGTTCTTTGTTGTAGCTGACTCACTGACTGTAGTAGTTCTTCACGTTTCAGCTCCGAACAGTAGAACTGCATTGATGCTCGTATTGATTATTGTGACTTTGATATTGATTGACAGTTGTTTTGAGTTGCATATGTTCTTCAACTGTAGGAATGCTTCCCTTTCTTTGATAATCCTTGCCTTTACGTCTTCATCCGATTCACCACGTCCATCGATGATGCTGTTCAGATACGTGAAAGTTCCCACCTGTTGTAGAGTTTCATTATAATGTGTGATTTGGTTGGTGGTCTACGTGTTTTATTTCAAGATGTTTCTTTTTCACTCGTGTATGTTGAGACCTACTAATGCAGAGGCTGCTGTTATACTATTTATCTTCATCCACATTTCTTCGTGTGTATGGGATAAAGGGGCTAGGTCATCTGCTAAGTCCAAATCTTCTTATTTATTTATTCATTTGAACACATAAATATTGATACAAGGGGGCACCAAATATATATGCGCCACACAAAACAATGAGAATTTAAAGAGAAGGGAAAAAAAGGTAAGGAACGTAGGGAATTATAAAAAAAGAACAATAATGGAAGAAACGAAAAGGTACAATCTGAAGAAATCTTTCAGTTAAAGAAGAAGCAACCACTTTTTGTGAAGAAAGTAAAAGAAGGTTACAGCAGGGTCGCCACTGGCTTCTATTCTGAGCCATATCTGATAACGTCTCTAGACACTGTGTTACACCATCTCTCGGACCCCAGCCAGGGAGTCGTGAAGGACCAACAGATACCAGTTCTGTACAGTTTTCTTTCATACCCCGACACCATGTCATACATTGACCAACTCTCCGTTTTTTCCAACCAGTCCCAGAGTCGGAAAATAATGCACAACGTGAAATTCTGTGGGACGACATTCGTAGGACATGTCCAAGCCACCGAAGTCGGTGTTTCAAGATGGTGACACCAATTGCATTATCGTCACTGCGCCCGAACACACGATGCCGAACCTCTGCATTACTAACATGGTGTTGCCGCTAGATGTCAGCAATCCTTCGGAGACAGCGATGATTGAACACCCCCAAATGCCCTGGTGCGGAAGAGAGTGGGAAGAGTACGCTCTCCCTCTCGAAAAGCTCTCACATGGCCATGCGTATATAGCCTCTACCAGGGAAGTCCTACTCACTGCCTTCTCGTGGCGGGGTGTTGTTTACAAAAATGAGAGGACGAAAAGCGAATGTCCGGCACTTTAACCGGACCCCAAACCAATGGTGCACATGAGCTCCAGTATCCTGAAGGAACAAATGGCGTACGAACCAATCGTTGGTCACCCGCTACCATGGGACTGCATCTCCTCACGATGCTCCACTGCCTTGTGGGACAGAAGTTCAGGTCAAAGGCTCGTGGTGTGGCCCCCTAAGAAAACCACCTGCTTTGGATTGGGCACCCGGGCAGTATCACAGCCCTCACACAAATCAATCGAGATTCGTGTGGCGCATATGAATTTGGTGCCTCCTTGTACCAACACTCATGTGTTAAAATAAATGAATATAAATAAACATCCTCAACTCGGAGCCCAGGTTTCACAAGCATAGAGTAAAACTGCGACCAACAAGTCCCCATCGGACACCTAAACAACTATCTTCTATGCCTAGACGCCCGACATGAGCATTCAAGTCTCCGGCTAATATCTGTCGAACGCACTTTCTGGAGAAGAACAGATAACTGGTGGTAGAATTCATCCTTGATTGCATCCGGGCTGCAATCCGTCGGGGCATAGGCGGAGATGACGAAAAGACATCGTTTCTCACGCCGATTTCTTCTCACTTTGATGGAACTTTCTAATCTAACAGCACATAATCTACTGTTAATGGGGATCCAATCGATTAGTGCTGCCTCAGCTCTAGCGCTTAGTGCGACACCAACGCAAGCAAGACCAGACAAAGATGCCACAGGGTCCCCGGATAAACGCATGTAAAACAAGCTTTTTGAAGTGACAGTTGGAGAGCGAATTTGTAGTAATTCATCAGTCTTGAATACGGGTCTCGGATAGATAGCAAACGTCGATATTAAGAATTTCCAGAGACATAGCCAGCCCTATCTGTTGTCTAACCTGCATAAGTGTGCGAACGTTAAAAGCAGCCAGTTTGAATGGTGCATGTGATTTCAGAAAAACTGCTTCAGTACTCGTATTCGATGGTAACATACAATTTTCAACCAGGCAGTGACTCGAGAACGTTTAGATAGAGCCGAATGTCCGCCATAGTCGAAAAATAAGGATAGACAGAGTGGGAATGAAAGAGAATAAATAAATGACGTGGTAAATAATAATAATAATAATAATAATAATAATAATAATAATAATAATGTGAATTGTTTGACAGTAAATCGCAGCGAGAATAGAGTTTTCAGTGAATATCATCATTTTCATAGCCAGCCCTATCTGTTGTCTAACCTGCATAAGTGTGCGAACGTTAAAGGCAGCCAGTCTAAATGGTGCATGTGATTTCAGAAAAACTGCTTCAGTACTCGTATTCGACGGTAACATACAATTGTCCATTGTTTTTAGTGCTTCACTTGAGATGTGTGGGTCTCCATAATCCAATTGACCACCGTAAGAAAGAGAAAGGGGGAGAGTAGGCTTGTGTATCTGACTCCGGTTTTCACTTAGATTGTATCTGTCAGCTGTTCGTCATGCACGACTTCAGAGTGCAGTCCGTCGCTCCAAACTACACATTGGAGCCTCCGACGTACGCACACTATGTCAAATCGATCAGCAGGCTTCCTTGGCTAAAACTCTATAATCTCGTACGATTGATGTATTCTGCGTCTCCGAAACACACATACAGGATCCTAGCGTGGTCATTCACTTGACCTCACCTCGGCAAAACGGAGAGCCGACAAGATACACTCTCCGTTTATCTGGTGACCCGATGGCTAGTTCTCGTGTAGTGTCAGGTGTAGGCATAGCACTAAGTATGGAGGCAGAAGAAGCACTTCTAGAATGGATTCCTGTTAACAGTCGTCTATGTGGTGTTCGGCTAAACGGCTCTGTAAGAACTCGGAGGGATAGAGACACACATCGTTACTTTTTCGTCGTTTCTGCCTTTGCTCCCACTGACTGCAGCTCAGATGCAGTGAATGCTGGATTTTACAGAGAGCTCTCTAAACTTTCTCAAAAAGCTAAACGTTCAGACATAGTACTTGTAGCAGATGACTTTAATGCCCAAGTGGGTAGCTTAAACCAAATGGAAAGACATATATGTGGGTATTTTTGTATTCTGTCTCAGCGAACAGATAATGGTGATCGTCTGTTGCAACCGTGCCCAGACAATCGTTTGTTGTTAACAAGCACTAATTTTAAGCATAAGGAGAGACATCGTCTAACATGGAGACCCACTGCACCAAACCTACGATGGACTCAAATAGAGCCTATTGCCGTCAGCCATCGTTGGAGAGGCTCGATAGAAGACTGTGGCTCGTTCTGGAATAAACTTTTAGACTCTGATGATGCCGTAATACGAGCGCACATTTTCCTGCACCTCACTGGACACAGAGAAGTCACATTAAGAAGACCCGTTAGAATTGAACTCATTGGCGAGAAAGCCAAGAGTAGATTCCAGGAACAACTGAAGTCATACTTATGCAATTTCGAAAACGAAGCTGACCTAGATGTTGCTTGGAAAGATTTACGAACAGCTGTGGAAACAGCAGTGACATCCATTAGTGATTTGAACCAAAGGGTTATGAAAAACCAATGGACTTCTGCAACATCTATTGCACTGATAGACTCTCGTAAACTTATGCCATTAGGCTCTGAACATAATGGACAATGGAAATAAATTAGATGTATGCTAACCAAGAGTCTACGGAATGATCATGAGCAGTGGTGGGCAACGGAAGCAAAAGAGATAGAAAAGGCGGCGACTGTAGGTAACACCAGACTGCTTTTCTGACTAATAAAATAAACTGGAATTAATAAGTCAATCGTAAGTGAGACTATTTTGGAAAAAGACAACACTTTTATCATCTCTCTCGACGGAACATTTTAAGGAGCAATTCTGTGGCCTTCGTCTATTCTACAACTACCCAACATTCACAGACAGCATGAATGTAACATTGAAGTAGGTCCTCGGACTCTATCTGAAGTTTAAATAGCTGTAGTTAATCTGAAAAGAGGAAGAGCAGCTGGTCCAGATGGATTAACTTTATATTTCTTTAGGGATGGTGGTCTAGTTTTATAGATTAGGTTGACTAATATTTTAACAAAAATCTGAGAACTGAATATAGTCCCATGTGACTGGTCGCAACCACTGATTGTCCCAATATATAGGAAGGGGTCAAAAGCATCGTGTGATAACCATAGAGCGATTAGTTTAACTAATATAGCATCTAAAATACTAGCCTCAATAATTATCAGATGTCTAAGAAAGACTCATGAACTGGCTTCAGACCCGGTCATGGCTGCATCGACCACATATTCACGATTTGTCAGGTTCTAGAACATAGGCATGTTTATCGGTGTCCGACAATGATGATCTTTCTTGACTTAAAAGTAGCATTTGACTCCGTATACCGAGAGGTTCTGTGGTAGTGTTTGTTATTGAAATGCGTACCTCGGAAGTTCATAAACCTTGTGAAGGCTCTTTACTGGAATAGTACCAGTTGAGTGAGAGCTTATGACGAACTGTCACCTGCTTTTGCAACCTCAAGTGGTGTCTGTCAAGGCTGTCCACTTTCTCCACTTTTGTTTAACTTTATCATATGCCTACTGATGGAAATAATGCTCTCGTCGAGTGAATTTTAGGTAATTGATCTCCTACCAAGAGGTCCACTTATTGACTTAGAATACGCAGATGATATAGTCCTGTTTGGTCGGCTGTTCGTCATGCACGACTTCAGAGTGCAATCCGTCGTATGAATTTTGCATGAGGTTGATGATTTTCCTGTGTACACCATAGTGTCGGAGAAGGTTCCAAAATGTTCTCCTATCCACACTGTCAAATGCTTTCTCATTATCAAGGGAGTTGATATATAGTGACGATTTCCATTCAATTGGTTGTTCAAAGATGATCCGTGGTATCGCGATTCGGTCTTTGCATGACTGATCCTTACGGTGTGGTTTGCAAAAAAGTTTAATCAGTCATAATCATCATAGAATCTGCTACAAATGTGCTCTGAACCGAATTACCCACATCACATTAGCACGACGGGATAAAATTAGCCAAATGTATAGAGAAGTAATAGAAATTATATGATAAACAGAAAGTAAAGATATTTGTTAAGTAGTACTGTAGCTCAAGTTCTTGAGGATAATAGGGAGCCAATCCACCCGTGCCACTGTGCTCGATTCCGAGCCATCTCATTCAATGCTTTCAAAAGTGGTCAGGTTTAATGCACAGGCCCTATCCATGTAGTCTGCATCTACAAAAAAAAACATACTGCTGATTGTCTTTCGGTCTTAATTGTATGATTTTCAGTATTCTCCCAATGAATATCACTCCGTGGTGAATGTTATTAATACTAATTTTCATTTTTTAATTTAAAGAAGTTCCTTAAAAGCAAACTTCATTTTACTGATTTTCATTTGTTGCTGTTATTTTTACTTTCTGGTTCTGCTTCTTTTTTTCTCTCCAAAAAAACTAGATCCTTTCAGCTTCAGCAGCTGCTGGAGTCGCTGTTGCATTTGGTGCACCAATTGGTGGTGTTCTTTTTTCACTTGAAGAAGCTAGTTATTATTTTCCAATGAAAACAATGTTTCGATCATTTTTCTGTGCTATGGTATCAGCTAATGTTTTGCGTATTTTAAATCCATATGGTAGTGATAATATGATTATGTTCTATGTCGATTATCAAGCACAATGGCATGTGATGGAATTAATTCCATTCGCTTTACTCGGTTTACTCGGAGTAAGTTGTCTGTAACTTCAGTCTATGGCTACACATATTAAATAATTTACATTTTGATTTTTACACATGGTTACAGGTAGTTTGCTTCATTGTTTCTTACCATGTAGAAGAAAGAAACAAAAGGAATACTAAGTCGACAACACATGGTCCTTTTGTGGCATGGTTTTGTTGTCTAAGCTCCGTACTTGGAAAGGCCTTACCATGGGAGGCCCATGTGCACCATTGGTATCCTGCAGGAACAAATGGCGTATGAAATAATCGTTGGTCACTGGCTACCATGGGACTGAATCTCCTCACGATGCTCCACTGCCTTGTGGATCAGATCTTCTGGTCAAAGGCTCGTGGTGTGGCCCCCTAAGAAAACCACCTGCTTTGGATTGGGCACCCGGGCAGTATCACAGCCCTCACACTTATCCAATGAGATATGTGTGGCACATATGTATTTGGTGCCTTCTTGTACCGATATCTATGTGTTAAAATAAAAAAATACCATGGGAGGCAGAAAATCCATGGGTTAAAATGGGACCGACCTCTTCTAATTCCAGTTTTTTATGAACGGCTGTAGCGTTAATTTACGTGCTGGAGTAAACACAAATCGATACTGTCAGTAGTATGATTCCACATTCGGTTCGTGGGTTTTGTGCTATTTGGATACTGTTACGCAACCAACCTGCTTGTCATGGTATTACTTTAAGGAACTAGTGGTACAGTGTACGTAGCTGGATTCCATTATTATGAGACGGGAACACTCGCACTACTTCAAAGTAGCATTTATAGTTGTCAAGTGACATGTATGCTTGGCGCAACTTGGTAAACTGTCGTAACGCTATATAAACCAAACGGATGCTCTTTATATCTCCTCACCATCAATAGGTATTTGTATTGTAATCTCCGCCTGACCGTTGTTGCTACCTTGAGGTGGTGGTCGGGCTTGCCTATCGTGATGAAGCAACTGAGCTATACTGGCTGGAACAACCGTTCCTCAAGGTCCTACCATGCCAGACAGGCCGGTTGAAGAGCGGTAAGACTAAAAGCAACAAATCCAAGGTCCGAAGGCGAAGTCGTACTGCTGACTGTACAGAGGTGTGACAGCAGTAAGGTGTTTCCTTCAGACAACCAGCATGACAGCGATGCTGCCTCCCCACAAGTAGGGGTGGGGTTAGAAAAGGTCGACCCTAAAAATGCACACCCCGCCTTACCCCACGGATATCCGTCTCCGGCGGAAAGGACTCAACAAGTACGGGGTTAACACGAAAACTGCTCATAAAAAGGTCGTGTGTGACCGACCTCAAGTAGCTATACTCTGGGCACTGAGGTCACGCTCTCAGGTCACTATGACCACCTCTAATCCAATTTCCTTCTCAGGTACCTCCAGCAGAGCCTTTCCACGGTGTGATCAACCGGGAAGTGATAACCCCCCTCATACCTCTAATAGCACTCAAGACCACTGTATTCATAGTCAACCTCCCTCTTCAATTCCTATTATATCTCCTACATCGACTTTATACACTAAACTTCCTCTTTTAGCTTCCTCCTCAAGTATCACCACAGCCAACGATTCTAGTGCTCAAAACACTGTCCCAGGTCTACTGAAACCTCTCTCCAAACTACACATGGGAGCCTTCAACGTACACACACTATGTCAAATCGGTCAGCAGGCTTCCTTGGCTAAAACCCTATAATCTTGTACGATTGATGTATTCTGCGTCTCCGAAACACACATACAGGATCCTAGCGTGGTCATTCACTTGACCTCACCTCGGCAAAACGGAGAGCCGACAAGATACACTCTCCGTTTATCTGGTGACCCGATGGCTAGTTCTCGTGTAGTGTCAGGTGTAGGCATAGCACTAAGTATGGAGGCAGAAGAAGCACTTCTAGAATGGATTCCTGTTAACAGTCGTCTATGTGGTGTTCGGCTAAACGGCTCTGTAAGAACTCGGAGGGATAGAGACACACATCGTTACTTTTTCGTCGTTTCTGCCTTTGCTCCCACTGACTGCAGCTCAGATGCAGTGAATGCTGGATTTTACAGAGAGCTCTCTAAACTTTCTCAAAAAGCTAAACGTTCAGACATAGTACTCGTAGGACTAATATAGTATCTAAAATACTAGCTTCGATAATTCTCGGACGCCTAACTAAGACTCGTGAACTGCAAACACGTGAAAATCAGGCTGGCTTCAGACCTGGTGGTGGCTGCATCGACCACATATTCACCATTCGTCAGGTTCTAGAACACAGGCATACTTATCGCCGTCCGACAATGGTGGTATTCCTTGACTTAAAAGCAGCGTTTAACTCTGTTGACCGAGAGCTTCTGTGGCAGTGTCTGTCATTGAAAAGCGTACCTCAGAAGTACATAAACCTTGTGAAGGCTCTTTACTCGAACACTACTAGTCGGATCAGAGCCTATGGCGAACTGTCATCTGCTTTTGCAACCTCAAGTGGCGTCCGTCAAGGCTGTCCACTTTCTCCTTTTTTGTTTAACTTTATCATAGACATCCTGATGGAAATAACGCTCTCATTGACTGAATTCTCGGGTATTGATCTCCTTCCAGGAGGTCCACTTATTGACTTAGAATACGCAGATGACATAGTCCTGTTTGGTGAAGACGCTGATGAAATGCAGAGTCTTTTGGTAGCACTGAGCAACAATGCCCGAATGTTTGGGATGCGCTTTTCTCCCTCTAAATGCAAGTTGTTGCTTCAGGACTGGTCTGCGTCAACACCTGAACTAAGGATAGGGGGTAAAGTAGTCGAACGCGTCGACAACTTCACTTATCTTGGAAGTCTGATCAGCCCTAATGGGTTGGTGTCTGACGAAATCTTAGCACGGATTCGAAAAGGTCGCTTGGCCTTTGCCAACTTACGTCATCTATGGCGCAGGCGAGATATCCGTCTATCAATTAAGGGTTGAGTATACTGCGCGGCAGTTCGTTCCGTTCTACTATACGGCTGCGAAACATGGCCTTTGAGAGTAGAAGATACTCGTAAGTTACTAGTATTTGACCACAGGTGCCTTAGAAATATTGCGGGTATCTGCTGGGATCACCGGGTAAGTAATAGTGAGGTTAGACGCAGGGTACTAGGGAATGATGGTTGGGCCACGTGTTACGTATGCCTGAACACCGATTACCACGACGCGCAATGCTGACTATTGCAGGGGATAATTGGAAGAAAGTTAGGGGCGGCAAACCAAAACGTGGCATCAGTGCTTGAAGTCACTAACTTCTGGTCTGAGCCATGTTGGGAGATTCAGACTGCCTGGTTGGGGTCCGCGTGACTATCGTAACCATTGGTTGGAGACTCTTGGTGACATGGCTCAGAATCGATCACAATGGCGTCGGTGTATACACTCTCTGTCTTCCTTAAATTAAGAGATTAATATCGCTTCATATCTTTCTTTCTATGAACTAATTCTTTCTTCCTGTACTATCTCCTTATACACACTCTTTCTTCTATATATTACCACCACTGAATTAACTACTTCTATGAATCCGGTGTTCATCTTGTTGTGCTAATGCTGTATGGCAACTTGGACCGATGCATATACGTGCCTGGTCCTACGTTGCAGCTGACTGACTGACTGACTGTAATCTCCGTTAATTGCAGCTAGATTTAGATAGACCGGTTGAAAAATGTTTTATCAGTAGTCTTCGTGTCAGATGATCTTTTCACTAACATATGATTTACACAGAGCAGCAGATGATTCTCAATGTCCCAATTACTTACCTACTCTTGTTACCTCTCATGGAGGAGCATAGGTTGCTCACCAGCATTCTTCATCCAACTCTGTATTGAGCAATCCTTTCCAGTTGTTATCCATCCTTTTGATATCGGCTTCAATTTTTTGACACAGTGCGTTCTTTGGTCTTCCTCTTTTCAGTTTTCCTTCAGAATTTAAAGTTATCATTTTTGTGACGCAGTTTGATGATTTCCGAAATGCGTGTCCTATCCACTTCCATCGTCATTTCGTAATTTCCTTTTCAGTTGGAAGCTAGTCTGTTCTCTTCTACAGTAGGTTGTTGCTGATGGTATTGATCAACGGACATTGAATATCTTACGTAGACAATTGTTTATCCCGACCATTGTTGCTACCTTGACGTGGTGGTCGGGCTTGCCCATTGCAATGAACCAATCAAGCTATACTGGCTGGAACAACCGTTCCTCAAGGTCCTACCATGCCAGACAGGTCGGTTAAAGAGCGGTAAGACCAAAAGCATTAAATCTAAGGTCCGAAGGCAAAGTCGTACTGCTGACTCTACAGAGGTGTGACAGCAGTAAGGTGTTTCCTTCAGACAACCAGCATGACAGCGATGCTGCCTCCCCACAAGTAGGGGTGGGGTTAGGAAAGGTCGACCCTAAAAATGCACACCCCGCCTTACCCCACGGATATCCGTCTCCGGCGGAAAGGACTCAACAAGTACGGGGTTAACACGAAAACTGCTCATAAAAAGGTCGTGTGTGACCGACCTCAAGTAGCTATACTCTGGGCACTGAGGTCACGCTCTCAGGTCACTATGACCACCTCTAATCCAATTTCCTTCTCAGGTACCTCCAGCAGAGCCTTTCCACGGTGTGATCAACCGGGAAGTGATAACCCCCCTCATACCTCTAATAGCACTCAAGACCACTGTATTCATAGTCAACCTCCCTCTTCAATTCCTATTATATCTCCTACATCGACTTTATACACTAAACTTCCTCTTTTAGCTTCCTCCTCAAGTATCACCACAGCCAACGATTCTAGTGCTCAAAACACTGTCCCAGGTCTACTGAAACCTCTCTCCAAACTACACATGGGAGCCTTCAACGTACACACACTATGTCAAATCGGTCAGCAGGCTTCCTTGGCTAAAACCCTATAATCTTGTACGATTGATGTATTCTGCGTCTCCGAAACACACATACAGGATCCTAGCGTGGTCATTCACTTGACCTCACCTCGGCAAAACGGAGAGCCGACAAGATACACTCTCCGTTTATCTGGTGACCCGATG